ACAAGATAGGAGCAATATTAAGGTATGTTGCCAACTCTCATGATTTTTTTTTATCGCAAGTCTTGAGATATCGAGTGTTTTTCTTTAAAGCCCCAGACTCTAGACTCAAGTGATTATACAAACATCTCAGTGTTTTAGTAAGTTTGTAGCCCACATGGCTGCAGAGAGATGTTATTCAAGTGTCTCTTAAAAGTCAGAAGGAAATTAAAAGAACACCATATGAATGTGTGTGTGTGTGTGTGTACACACACACATATATATAATGTTTTTAAACTATTCTTCATGATTTTTTGAGGCTTAACTCATTTAAATATGAGGGTTTGGCAATACTGGATCTTAAATATGCAAAAGGCTATAAAATGGATGTAATAGGATGTGATTTTAATATTGAGAGGATATGGGTTAAACTCTGCCTTCAGGTATGCACATGTGAACACATCATATGGCACTATATTTGTAAGTCCCCCTGGAAGAATGAAAGTAAGACAATAGGGCTAGATGGCAGGAGCTGACACCATTGAAAGTACCTTTCCTAACTTTCAAATATATTTTTCTCATTTTTTCAACAACTCCTTGGCTGCTTGTAAATGAAATCGCTCTCCCCCCCCCCCTTTTTTTTTTTTTTACTGATTCCATTTTTCTCCATTTCACAAACATACAGGCCTGTTGCTATAGGTTTTGGTGTTGGTTTGCTCCTGTCATCCAATTTAGCAAGCTAGCATTAATTTGTTTTAATAAAAATACTGAAATCCTTAAAATAAAATAATCACATGAAGAATTACATGGGTTTTACAAAAGAGAAGTAGGTCAAATATTGTGCCAATCAACTGTGAGAATGTCCCTTTAAGAAAAATAAATGGGGAATACACTAAAACTGTCAGCCCATCATTTGGTTGCGTGTATATGCTGCTTTGGTGTGACCTGGCAAAGCCCGTGTGACTGAGTATTGTGGGAAAATGTCAATTTTAGTATTTTAACCAGAATATCCTTTATATTTGGGTTTGGGATGGGGATGTGGAGGTATAAAGAATTCCTGTTCTACCCTTGCAAACGTTGACTTTTTATTTTAACAAGCAAGCTACATTATTATATTGAAGGGGCATTGTAGCAATGCAGCATAGGAACACAATTTAAATCAATCATAAAACTGCAGCAGAAAGAGGCTGTGAGAGGTAGTGTGGATGGTCCATCTGCAAAATCTGTGCTCCTGTATTACAAGGAGGAGGGATTAGAGGGTGTGGGGAGAGAAAAAGCAGCTGCTTGGCTGTTCTCTGAGAGGGAGAGACTGACTGTTGGCACCATCTGTAGCTGTCCTTTGTGCTTGCTTCTTTATCTGTTCATTATAGTGATGCTGAATTTCTCGTGCTTTGAGTTTAAATGAGTTGAGATGTGCCTAATACTGTCAGCACAAAAAGCTGAAACTAAGTACACTAAAGATGAATAGTGTAATCTGTAAATTCATTTTCATCTTACTTGAATAGGCAAAGGAAGTAATGTTCTTCAGAATCCAGCTGTACCAGATGCTTGTGTGGCACATTTCATCTCACCACACTAAGTGCAAACCAATATAAGAGGGGGGTATGGGAGAAGTTGCAACATTTCAGACAGACAATGGCAAAATCGCTGAGGGAATGTCTACACAGCAATGTAAGCCCAGGATTTGAACTCGGGCTCAAGCCTAACCCCTCTTCAGTCTACACAAACATTGCACTAACCTCAGGCTTGGACCCCAGGTCTAAGGACCCCATGGTATTGGAGGGTCCGAACCTGAGTCAAGCCGGGACCCAGAGTTCAAGATCAACTGCTTTGCAGTGTTGACACAACCCTACTGGACTCATGATCTGGGAGTCCACCAAAAGAACCCCACTGGCTGATTTTTTATCCTCTGGACAGTAAAGTTTTCCCACACTGCATCACAAACACAAGGCTAGAGTGACCACGTTTTGGGAGAGTGCTAGGGAGTCTGGGATATGAGTGGTTGGATTCAGGTCTGCATAATGCAATGTAGATCCTGCAGCCTCAGGCAGGGACCCAAGGGTTCTGCAGTTCCTAATCTAGGGATACAAATGAATGTAGATGCTCAAGTCGTAGCTTAACAAACCCAGGATCGGCTACCTCAAGTTCCAATTACCCAGGGCTTACATTGCAGTGTAGGCATACCCAGAGGGGTTTTCTCTCTCCCACCCCACCCCGCTTTGATGGAGATAATGGTGGATTTGACATTTTTTGAGACAGTTCTGAACCGGTCTCTTTTCATTCAATGCACAAACACAAATTATTATTATACATGGTACATGACTGGGAAATGTCCCAGGAGAGGAAAGGTTAAACCTCTCAGTAATGAGCAGTGAGATGGGGATGAGTACATTTGTTATGTTTTATACCTTCCGATTCTTACTTTCCAAAAATGTAAGTCATCTCCTGATAATTTGTAGCATATAACTGTCTCCCTTATCTCAAAAGCCTGGCCATTCTCTGACATTTACATTTCACCTTTACAAATGTGTGCATTTGATATTAGTAATAATAATAACTCATTAATATCTTACCTTCCCTCCCTACTCAATGCGATGTTATCTCATTTCCATTGCAAATTATTTGGCCAGGAGTTAACTCTGTTTTTTCAAAGCAGGTACTGGCTTTGTTTGCAGATTCATGTCCTCAAATCCATTAGGCGGCTGCTTTTTATCTTTATTTGTCAAGCACTTATATGTGTGCACTAGGAACAGCTCCCTCCTCACATCAAAGCCACGTTTAAGATGGACGGTTTCCATTCGACACCATAGTAATTACACTCAGCTGTGGAAGTGCTCAGCATCCGCTATTATTCTGACATGGCTGCATTTACAGCTCGGCAGAACACTTTGTTCATTTTTCTCAGAACTCAAGTAGCCATAGTGTGCATGAGGAAACTATGTTAGGCAGTGATTTTTAGCTGCAGGCGGCTTGAAAAGGGGGTGGAAGGGAAAGACCCTTTGTCACTGGCACATAAGTAATGACATGCCAGGGATAAAAGGTGAGTATAATTTGATCAAATGCTTGTTGACAGATTCCTTGGCTAATAGAGAAGCAGCTTAGAATGACACTCTTTGCTAGAACATTTAGGCACGGAGCTCAGTGGGAATGCTTTCTATAGGCTAGATGTGATGCTAACAATTTCAGAGTAACCATATTTAGTTATATAAAGAAGCAGTATCCCCTTCTTGTCATAGAAGGACTCTAAAGTACCTCCCGAAGCACCATTATTGACCTTGCATGTGGTAAATACAAAGAAATTACTACATCCTCAATACCCCGATGTGTGTTTACTTTTCTTTAATAGAATTGGTTTTATTAAATATTTCTCTGGTATGGCCAGTTGATTTTTTTTTTAATTACTAGTGTTTTTATATAGAGACATATTTTTCTGTGTTCCTGTCAAAATCTGAGACTCTCACACTTTTCACAGTGTAACTTTCCAATTACATCCTTTGAAACTGGTTCTGATAATTATCAATTACACCACTTTTGAGTGTATAATGGAAGAAGAAGGTGAGGTCCCTTTTAAATGATGGGTAATTATGGTATCACACCATTACAAAAAGCATACAAGTGAAAATAAACATCCATGTATTGGACATCTCCTCACCTGTGTCACTTACATTGGTAAACCTGACATAATGTTTTAAACCTCATCTACTTTTGACTATTTATACCGCATGTTTATTTTAGACTGGCTTTCTGGTTCTTGCCCACTAGAACAAATTGTTTGGGTACACAACAAATTGTTGTTTGTAGGGAAACATCTACATTTTAAAACCTTTTAATTGACATTCAAGACCATTTTTTATCGGCATGAAGATTTGCAAAACCTTCTTTTAAGGAAGAACAAAATAGACCCTTCTGTTTGACAAAGTTGTTTGTATCAACCACAAAATTTTGCAGTTGGTCTGAGCTGTATCTTATTGGAATTCTTCACCCACCACTTAGCACAAAAGATCTTTAATTACATTTCACAACAGTTAGTTATCACATTGGAATTTAAAAGGGCAGCTCCTTGGTTTAATCACTTTTCTATGAAGACATACTGGATAAAATCCTGCTTCACTGCAATCAATGGAGCCAGATTGTGCTCACTGTCATTTCTAGAGGCTCTGTTTATCAGAAATTGTGTGCTTTTTGTAACATAGGCCAGAATTTTAGTGCCTCTGAAAATCAGGCCTCTTATTTAGGTGCCTAAGGCCCCAATTTATCAAAGTGTGTAAGCATGTGCTGATCTGTGAATATATGAGTAGTCCCATTGACCAAAGGAATATTCACATACTTAAAGTTTGGCATATGTTTAGGTGTTTTGCTGAATTAGGCCCCAAATATGGATCCAGGTGTCTAACTTTAAGCACCCAAATTTGAATATCATGGCCACTCTGTTTTGTAAGCTCATTCACAGTTGGGGTAGGTAATATAATGTTGCAAATTAAATCCAACACCTGATTTTTCTTTTGTAATCTGTGTCTTCTGCAATAAAATTTCATACAAAGAAATTGCAGTATTGTCAATCGTACGGAATGATACTATTTTAGTTATGCAAGAAGGCAAAGAACAGCCATCACAATAAATCATATATAAGACTGGCTATATTAAGAAATGCTGATTGTGCAGATTGTGGAGATTATCTATAATAAACTAAATCCAAACTAGAATAACTAGCAGAACTAAAACTATCATCCACTGCCTATTAACATTAGAGGTGGAACGGGTTGTGGGAGACTGTAGAAAGAAATCTTGATTTCTCTTGCTCCCTTCTCTTCTTATCTACCAATGATCTCTGTTTCTTCCCATAGTTTTTCCCCTTTTAGTGTAGCAACATATTCTTCATATGATGGTAGTGGCTCATGGGGAAAGTTTTCAGAACTGGTGTATGTCCATTCAGTTAGTGACTAATGTGGTTAAAATATCCTGCATCTCAACACAGCTGCACTCTTCATTAAGTTGTACACCTTCATTTTGTTCTGTTTGCACAGCACTGCTTTCGTCGTGGTGTGAGGAGTTGGGACGGCTCTTGCTGCTTCGTCACCAGAAAAGCCGGCAAAACGATCCTCCTGGGAAGCTACCCATGCAACCCCCCATGAACTCTATGAGCTCCATGAAACCCACACTCTCTCATAGGTGAGTCACACAAGCCTGCTATTACGAGAGTAGATGCATATACAAATTCATTACAGTGAGAAATCTTTTAACTGAAATGCTTATTACCATGACAAATCGGGAGGAACTGGTTGAGACTTTGCAAGTGGAAGGCAGCTTGGGTGAAAGTGATCATGAGATGGTAGAGTTCATGATTCTAACAGCTGGTAGGAGGGAAGATAGCAGAATAAAGATAATGGATTTCAAGAAGGCAGACTTGAGCAAATTCAGGGAGTTGGTAGGAAAGATCCCATGGGAAGCAAGTCTAAGGGAAAAACAGTTTGAGAGAGTTGGTAGTTTTTCAGAGAGACATTATTAAGGACACAAAAGCAAACTATCCCACTGCATAGGAAAAATAGGAAAAATGGCAAGAGATCACCCTGGCTTAACCAGGAGATCTTCAATTATCTGAAACTCAAAGAAGAGTCCTACAAAAAGTGGAAACTAGGTCAAATTACAAAGAACAAAAGCATGTAGGGATAAAATTAGAAAGGACAAGGCACCAAACGAGATTAAACTAACTAGAGACATAAAGGATAACAAGAAAACATTCTACAAATACATTAGAAGCAAGAGGCAGACCAAGGACAAGGTAGGCCCATTACTCAATGAGCGGGTAAAGACAATAATATAAAATATGGAAATTGCGGAAGTGGTAAATGCCTTTCTTGTTTCAGTTTTAACCAAAAAGGTAAGTAGAGATCAGACGTCTAACATAGTGAACACTCAGGAATATGAAGTAGGATCTGAGGCTAAAATAGGGAAAGAACAAGTTAAAAATTATTTAGACAAGTTAGCTGTCTTTGAGTTGGTAGGCCCTGATGAAATCCTAGAATATTCAAGGAGCTGACTCAGGAAATATCCGAGCCATTAGCATTTATCTTTGAAAATTCTTGGGAGGGTGGAGAGATTCCAGAGGACTGGAAGAGGGAAAATATAGTGCCAATTTATATAAAGGGGAATAAAGACAACCCAGGGAATTACAGACCAGTCAGCTTAACTTCAGTCCCTGGAAAGATAATGGAACAAATAAGCAAGCAATCAAGATGATAAGTAACAGTCAACATGGATTTGTCAAGAACAAATCATGTCAAACCAACCCAACAGCTTTCTTTGACAGGGAGCAAGCCTTGTGGATGTGGTATATCTTCACTTTAGTAAGGCTTTTGATACTGTCTTGCATGACCTTCTCATAACAAACTAGGGAAATGCAACCTAGATGGAGCTACTATAAGGTGGGTGCATAACTGGTTGTAAAACCATTCCCAGAGAGTAATCATCAGTGGTTCACAGTCAACCTGGAAGGGTATATTGAGTGGGTTCCTGCAGAGATCGGTCCTGGATCCAATTCTGTTCAATATCTTCATAAATGATGTAGATAATAGCAGAGAAAGTACACTTACAAAGTTTGTGGATGATACCAAGCTGGGAGGGGTTGCAAGTGCTTTCGAGGATAGGATTAAAATTCAAAATGATCGGGACAAATTGGAGAAATGGTCTGAAGTAAATAGGATTAACTTCAATCAAGACAAATGCAAAGTGCTACACTTAAGAAGGAGCAATCAATTGCACATATACAAAATGGGCAATGGCTGCCTAGGAGGGAGTACTGTGGAAAGGGATTTGGGAGTCATAGTGGATCATAAGCTAAATATGAGTCAGCAGTTTAACTGTGTTGCAAAAAAAAGCAAACATCATACTGTGATTTATCAGCAGGAGCTGTTGTAAGCAAGACACGAGAAGTAATTCAGCTCTACTCCACACTGATAAGGCCTCAACTGGAGTATTGTGTCCAGTTCTGGGCGCCACATTTCAGGAAAGATGTGGACAAATTGGAGAAAGTCCAGAAGAGAGCAACAACAATGATTAAAGGTCTAGAAAACATGACCTATGAGGGAAGATTGAAAAACTTGGATTTGTTTAGTCTGGAGAAGAGAAGATTGAGGGAGGACATGATAACAGTTTTCAAGTACATATAAAAGGTTGTCACAAGGAGGAGGGTAAAAAATTGTTCTCCTTAACCTCTGAGGATAGGACAAGAATCAATGGGTTTAAATTGTTATCAGGGTAGTTAAGCAATGGGTTTAATAGTTATCAGGGTAGTTAAGCACAGGAAAAAATTGCATAGCAGATTGCGGAAACTCCATCATTGGGGGTTTTTAAGAACAGGTTAGACAAACACCTGTCAGGAATGGTCTAGTTATTACGTAGTCCTGCCTTGAGCGCCGGGGGCTGGACTAGATCACCTATTGAGGTCCCTTCCAGTCCTACACTTTTATGATTCTGTAACGAAGGATAGCTAAAGTGGTTCCTTCACCGATTGGAACTAGAGACACCAGCACATACTAAATAAGCTAAATTTTCAGCATTGCTAACTACCCAGTACATGGTGATGTGACTTTTCCATTTCCCAACCTGAGTTCAGGTTTAGCAAAGAAGCGTGTAATTGGCCTCCTGAGACATCAAGCCTTAAGCCCCACCCTAAGGAGGCAAACTGTACTGACATTAATTAAAACAACACTGCTGTGCATCACTCATCAGATTTTTTTCCCATGGAATATTGAAAGAACACTGCTTTTTCTCTGGGCTGCAAACGTTTTATTGAAGGTTTTTTTCTTTTAGGTTCCATGGTGATGGTTGCATTAGAAATATCTGTATAGATTAGAGTAGATTGGATGTTGCATCAAGGTGTTAATATTATGGGGTTAATCAGGGAAATGAGAACCTTCACTGCACTCTAATGTCATCAGTCAGGAGAAATTCATAAAAGAATTATAACATTTGAGTGGAAAAGTGAGCCCCAAGGATTGTCTGAGGAGAGACTAAAGCATGCAGGATATGAAACCTCGAGTTCCCAGCTAGCTGGGAAAAGAGCAGTGGTATTGCTTCAGGTCAATGAGAGATTGGGAGGATTCATGTAGGCAACATCAGACATTGGAACTGCATCCCGTATGTTTCTGTTTTTCTTTATTTTTAACATCACAAACCAAAAATAATTTCTACAGCTGCTCTGTTTATAGCCAAAATGTAGGAAACTTTTATTATTAAATCATGATAACACTGTACACTAAGTTGAATTGCCACTTTATGCCTCCACTTTATGCCACTGTGTTTGGCACTGTATTTTCAGGTTTGGGTTTTGGGGTTTTCCTTTTGTTTTTGTTTTGGTATATTTCTGTTTCATTAATGGAAGATACATGGAAGATACACATCATTTACTAAAAGTAATACCCCGTATTCTACTATAACTGATTTTAGTAATATCTGTGACTAGGCTGCTTCTTTTCTAACTTAGCTTATGAAATGATTTGGATCAAATACTTAATTACATTAGATTGATGAAAACAAATTTCTTACTAGAAAACCCCTTTGATTCTAAAAATGATAGTTGGGCTCCTGCTGTTTGGACTTTAAATAAACTACTGTCCTCTTTTCATCATCCAAGATGAAATCAGATGGGAAGTCTGCATAGTAACACACTCTTATTGGGACCCACAGGGACTAGTTAGTAGAGCTAGGGAAAGACAGAATGGTCCAGTGTTTAGGGCACTAGTATGGGACTTGGACACTTGAATTCAATTCCCTGTTCCACTACAGACTTGTTGTGTGACCTTGAGAAAGTCACTTAGTTTTTCTGTGCCTCAGTTCCCCATCTGTGAATTGAAGGTAATAGCACCGCCCTACCTCCTAGGGGTGTTGAGGATAAATACATTAAATATTGTGAGGCTCTCAAATAGTACAGTAATGGAGACCATATGAGTAGCTACGAGGGATAAAAAAAGCAATCAGCAATAATCCTGTATGGCTGTCATCCAGTGAACCAGTCCATCATGTATCATAGTGTAAATAATATATCCTGTCAAAGCCTAGATTTAGATTCTAAGATTGTTAGGTCTTGATATACCTGACTGACTTATGTCACAGTTCCTGAGTTAATTACACCTCTGACCCCTTTGTGGCCTCTCTGAGGGCATCCCACTTAAGTCTTAGGCCTCTAGCTGTCACCTTTCTCAGGCAGAGTCCTGCAACACTCTGCCTGTAGACCAGGGAGTTAGTCTACAATTCCATTCACAGTGATCACCTTAGCAAGTCCAGCATCTCCTGTCCTGTTCTCTCAGGGGCAGTGACCAGGGTTTTCCAGTGCTTTTCAAAGCAACTATTATTTATTCAGAACATAAGCATTACAGAGAAAACTTATCTTAAAAACCATAAACAGTTTACGTGCAAGCCTTAGCTTACCAGGCAGACATCCCTCTCCCACCTGGAGACCCTGGCAGGGTTCAAAGTCTGTCCCTGTTGGTCTCAGCATGTCAGTTCTTATACTGAGTGAGAGTGACCTCCCTCTCTATGTCAGGCGGGTCACTTTACACAGTTCTCCTTTCTTTGTGTGTCAGGTCTTTTAAACCAGGTTACACTAGTATATACAGTTTCCCCCAAAGCATTGAGGTTACTGGCCTAGGAATTTGTATTACCCCGCAGTGATTTTTGTTCCTCTAGGAAACTCCTGTAACTCCTCCATGGGGTTAGAATAAAATCCCTAGCCCATACTGATACATATAATGTTTATAAAACCAATACTATAGTCTTTGGGTATTCCATGTACCCGTAATAGATCACTGCCTGTACTAATGCATACCCTCCAGTTATGTTCACAAGTGGGCATGTCCAGTTGAACACCACGCTTCTCTCTCTTTCTCCTGGAATACTGTCTTGAAAAAAAAAAGCTTTACTTTGGCTGGCACTATGAGGTAAATCCTAAATCAGAGTTGTCCAATGCTGTGATGTCCCGCTGGAAACATCAATTCTGTGGCATATCTTCTTGTAGTGGTGAAATTTAACATAATGGCAAGCAGCAGCCTCTGAGGCCTGTTGGGTATTTGTATCATCACTTCAGAATGTGCATTCATTTCAGCTCTAAATTGGACCCTAATCTAGCCACTGTAAATTATATGTCAGATGGTAGGACAGATGTAGCTGATTTG